AACATTGCCTGAAGTCGTAATTCATCACCTACAGGTTATGATCCTGCTGGTGTTTCCACACGGTCATCTAGAATAGTCCGTGGTTGCCATCTATACTCTGGTAGATGACTACATCGCCAAATTGCTACATCGTCGGTCAAGGATATGGTATCCCCTCTCATCTCACATCACCTATTTATCATCACCTTTCTGTCATCACCTATCTCTCATTACCTAATTATCATCACCTATTTCTCATCACCTAATTATCATCACCTATTTCTCATCACCTAATTATCGTCACACCTCATCTAATTCATATACCCATGTTCTACCCAACATATTTGTAGATATAAAATACATGTACAGATTAACTCATTTAACACCTATATAAAACATCCATTCCACACTCATCTCAAATAAACAACAATATATAAACACATAGCACGTATTTCATAGCAAATACTTTATATATATATATATATATATATATATATATATATATATATATATATATATGTTAGAAGAAAGTGATCACATACTCACCTAAAACATATACTTAATACATTCACATAATACTTGTATTAAAATCGTGTTATGAAAGGGACTATACACTCACTTGATCATAAGATGATCAGACATCACTACGGCTCTTCAAATAGTATTCTTCGTTGAAACCGGAATATCTTCACACACCAGGTTTCTCGCGGACAGAGCTTCGGCTCTGAAACTCTTTTCTTCTCGGGATCTTCGGGCTTCGGGACTTGCTTCGGGTCTCGGGATGTTATCGGGGTTTCGGGGGGTTAAAATAGGGCTTAGAGGGTGTATCGGGAGTGGGAGAGAAGAGATGGAGCAACACTAAACGGCTGGCCCTTCAAATCTATTTATAGGGCAAATTTTTCATTTTCCACGTCATGGACAGTGTTTCCACGTCGTGGGCTTGATCGTCATTGCATGCGTCATCGCAAGTTGCGTCTGGGGGACTCCAGGAGGTGTCAAAATACTTGCCACATCGTGGCATTGCTTGCCACGCCGTGGTATCTGACAGTTTTGGGGTTTCGCGCCCCGAACTTCAGAAATTCTTAATTTTCGCATACGAACTCCGTTTTCGACGTTCTTTATATCGACACATAGGTAAAAACAATATCTACAACTTTCATTTAGACTCTGTCGGCTAATTTTGACTTTATTTTTATTATATTATTTTTAGTAGGCCGGAACAGGAAAACTCCGTTATAAACTCATAACTCCTTCGTCTGACGTCCGTTTTCGTCTGTCTTTCTGTCGTTGCACTATTATCGATGAGATCTTCAATTCTCATTTAGTTTGTTTTGGCTAAATATTGCTCTAACGTAAATTCACTATTTACGTCGCGCTGTGTCGTACCGGTTCTTTCGCGAAACTTCAATAGGTCATAACTTTTTCATTATAACTCGGATGTCGGCGTTTTTTATATGTACGGAATCCTTGTAACATATACTATAACTTAGTTAAGATTAATACTTCTAAATAATTTTTCATCAAAAAGTAATTTTTGATGCTTATCGTCTCTAAATTGACTAACCCAAATCTGCGGGCGTTACAACAATTCATGTACTATTATTAATTGTAAAAACCTTGTATTCAACCTTCAAAATGGAATAGAATTAATGTTTGTGTATTGTTGTATTTGTGTTATATATTCAGTTTACCTGTAATCAATGAACTAAATTGCACGGTCCGGCATTGTTCCGTCGCCCCGGCCGGGGATGTGACAACATATATATATATATATATATATATATATATATATATATATATATATATATATTACACCCATATAGAAGAAATTGGATGAATAAAATTGCGGTTCAGCATTTCTTGCAATTGCTTCGTGAATTCTTCAAGTCACTCGAGTCTTTGATAGGCTGTGGAAGCCTATTTGTCGACTTCTTCTAATTTGTAGCCCAGCGCTTCCTCTTTTCATTTTTGTTGGGTTCTTGCTAATTTTAATAAAGGATTTTCTAATATGTACCTTAAAGGTACACATAAAAAATATTAATTATGAAAAATATTGTCATAATTAAATTTAAAATACATTTATTATGGAAATGATTAATGCACTTCCCATGTAATTATGATAATATTTGTTATTATTAATGTATTTTATAATTAATTATGATAATATATATATCTTCAATTAATGTTTATTATATATGCTCTTACCAACAACATATTAGAAAATCAATTTTAATAAAGTTTGTAACTCAAAAGAAATCGGTATTAACCATGTCGATGAGGCAAATACATTATGTACCACCACCAAGGACCAAGTTGCAAGTTGGACGAATCTTCAAGGACCAACTTGTGTCAGAACCGGAAGGACCAACTTGTAGCAAATAGTGCGGATGTTTCCCGAAATACCACCCAACACTTACGACAACACGGGTAATTCGTCTCTTTGGTGTTTGGCCATTACATATGATTTTCATTTTAATAAATGTATTATTGTTTTGTAAAGTTAAAATAATAATAATAATAATAATAATAATAATAATAATAATAATAATAATAATAATAATAGTGGGTATTTTTCATATCTACAGTTTGGCGAGTGTTTTTAAAGATATTTTTTTTACGAAATGAGTACAAAAACACTTTACATTTTACAGTATGGGTTTATAAAAATAAATAAATAAATAAAATAAAATTATAGAAATACTTTATAACGATATCAAACTAAATAACAAAAATATTATCATATTTTTGTTATTATAATAATTTGTTTGCAATATAATTAGTTATAGTAGTTTTATGGGCTAAACATAATACTCTAATTATATATAGTAATTTAAAAAGTACATCATATTTTCATCTATATAATAACTTATTTTAATATAATTTGGGGGAAAGGGATAATAACTTGAGAGGGTAACGTATTATTGTTTTTTGTTATATTTGGTCACCAAAATTTTTTTTCGTAATGTAATTACCCTTTAACTTGTTGATTCGTGTAGATTTTCCCCTTCCGATTGCTTATTGCCCATTTCAACGGTTGAATCGGTCTTAGGTGTCTTTTTATCATACATGGCAAATGAGGTGGCATGTAGGGCTAATTAATAAGGCTAGTATTAAAAGAGGGATGTTGGTGGTTCCTTTATTGTGCCCTAATACCTGATGATGGCTGCCTCCTACAGCTTCTCCTCGACCTTCGATCGATCAAGCAAGACAACAGTAAACAATACAAAAGCTTGTGATTGTAGGTTCTTTGCACGTATTCTAACATCAACAACACCAAAGAATCCAGGGAGACATTTCATGGTGTGCAATGAGGTGTGCAATTTCATTTGAATCTTTCCTCTTTTCTTGATTCGTTATTCCTGAATTTCTTTATCTTTTCTGGAATCATTATTCCTGAATTTCTTCATCTTTTTTAATTGTTTGTTTTGAAGGGTAAATGCAAATTTTGGAAGTGGTTGGATGTAGAACTTGTACAAAAACCTGTAATCGATGCGGTTGGGGGAATGAAAGCTGATTTGGTAGTATTGAAGACAGAAGTAAAGAAGGTGAAAGAAGACATGGAACAAATGAAGAAGGAAAAAGTAATGGGTTTTGGTCATAAGACATCCTATGTGCTCATACAAACCCTAATGCTTGGATCTAGGTTTCTCTATTGTACATGCTTTGAATCCAAGACTATAAACCCTAATTCTAGCATTCAAGTGATCATATTAACATAAGAATAGGTTTATAATGTTACCTTGATTGTTATATAGCAATAACAATCCTAATTCCACCTTGAATTGACTTTGGAATGCTTAGAGTCACAAGTGTCACTCCTCTAATGGCTTACAAACACCAAGAGCAAATGGAGAAGGTATAAAGAGAGAGGAGAGAGGTTAGAATTCGTCCTTAGGACTCCTTGGGAAGGGATACACGAATTCATGAGCCAAGGGGTGTTTATATAGGTGTAGAGATAGGGTTTCAGTCATTATCCTTATCTAGATGCTTATCCACAAAGCAACCCATAAGATAATCCTTGAATCCTTATCATAGTCGAATTCTAAGGCCTTATCATCTTAAATTCGTCCAACCTAATAATAAGATAATCCTTACCTTATTTTGTAACTATCACATAATTACAAATCAGCCCCTCTAGTTTAATTAATTACACTTGATCACAAAATTAATTCCTAATTAATTATTGACCAATATTAATTAAACAAATATGATTCCTCCTTTAATATATTATTCTTATAACATATTAATAAATCATAATAACCTTTCTCTTTATTTATTTCTCCAATCAAGTTGCTTTGGTGAAGGCAACCCAAAAGGACCATGCACCATCGGGTCAAGTACATACCAAAATAGTTATGGACTTAGACACTAATCCAACAAAAAGTACTCTGATGTCCTTGCAATGAAGGAAAAATTATACAAGTTTCCCATAGGATTTCTTTTGTTGATCATTATGTATATGATGAAATGATGTACTGAAAGATGTTCTTTAAATGATGTATTGAATGATCTTAACTTCTTGTTTGATGTAATGAAATCAAGAACAATTGCATAAATATAAGTTTGCCATATATGATTCCATTCTTTGACTGGAATGGAATCAATGAAACAACAATGGAATCCAGAAAAAGTAGCATACATACACAACGAATGCATATATGATTCCATTGTGTGAATGGAATGAATACAATTCATACATTTTACAAGAAAGCAACTGAATGTGGTGGTTGGATTCATTGAAATACTCCACTAATATTCGAAATTAAATAAAGGGCAAGCCTTTGTCTACATACACAAAAGTTGCAGCTACGTAACACAAAATATGGGAGAAACGATTTCTGCATAACAAGGAGCACAAAAACGGGCGACCATGTGCCCACACAACCAAAAGAAAAGCATAAAGAAAACATAGTACTTTGTCTTTACATCACAACTTGATAACAAAATATGTACCCACCCATTAACTTAATCAAGGACTGTAGGGTTCTCTATAGTGCTCCTAACCCCATGTATCTTCCTCCTCAATGCCATTTTGACAATCCTTTCAGAATATTGCCTCTGTCCACTTCTACCAATTGGGCCCTTCTTCTTGGGACAAGACTTACACCAGGTGGTGGTGGAGGTGGTTGGGTTGCTTCTGGTGGTGGTGGTGATAGAGGTGGATGGGTTGTTGCTGATGGTGGTGGTGGAGGTGGTTGGGCTACTGTTGCTGGTGGTGGATGAGGTGGTTGGGCTGCTAATGTTGCTGCTGGTGGACTTGGTCCTGTTCCACTACCCCTGTATGCACTTGGTGCCGCTAAAAAATTGAAGTCTCAGTTACTTATCAAAATGATGTATTATGTTCAGATGAACAAATTTTACCTGATGTATTTGTTTGCTGCTTAGATGGACACTTTTTATTGTTATGATCTGGTTCCTTGCAAATACTACACCTTATCAGGGTTCCCTTTCTTGTCATAGAATGTCTAACTGGGCTAATCAACTCTCTTTCCACTGCATCCCTCTTCCTTTTCACTAATGGCTTACTAGGTAATCTTCTTCTTTTAGGAGGAAAAGGATTGTGTAAGGAACTTCTAGCCACATATCACTACCATTGAGAGGGTTAATGCTATAATTTTAGCATTTTAGGTAAGCCTCTTTAGTGTATGATTGGGACACATATGATTTTCATCTTGATGTAGGGAAGAGTTTGCAACCACTCCATGTAAGCATGGTATCCTTGTAAGTTGACATATTCTACATGCACAGGTCTTTGCAATTAGATCCACTCCATATGCTGAATCATTAAACCTAACTTCATACTTTTGATAACCACAAAGAGTAATTGTGAAAACCCGATATTTCGAATCAATGTAATGACCTAAAAAGTCAAGAATTGCAACCCCTTTTAATATAATGAAATTATTATCGAAAATAAAATGTTCAAAAGTCATCTACTGGATTTCATAGATGATAGTTATCATGTCAAAGTTTTCAGAAATATAAAGAACACTAAAATCCGAGTTATAACGAAGAAGTTATGACCAACCTAAGATTTCACCACAAAACCGTCAATACGATTAAACGTAAAATTCGAAGTTTTAATAAAATACTTTTAAACCTTAAGTGTCTAAATGAAAATCGTAGATATCATTAAAACTGTGAACATACATAAAAAAACGCCCAAATCTGACTTTGTATTGGGGAGTTATGATTTTTCGAAGTTTCAGATGTAGCAGTAGACAACTAAAATCTCGAAATAGAGATCGAGGGATTTTTGACCGAAACAATCTAAATGAGAATCGAAGACCTCAAAAATGGTAGTACAATGGTAAAAAGTTTTTCGAAAACAGACATCGGATAAAGAAGTAACGAAATTTTAACGGACTTTTCGTGTCCCGGCCTGTTAAAAACAATATAATCAAAATAAAGTCAAAATTTGACGATGGAGTCTAAATGAAAGTTGTAGATTACATTCTCACCTATGCATGTATTTAAAGAACGTCAAAAACGGAGCTCGTATGCAAAAGTTACGGATTTTACAAGTTCGAGATGCACAAACCGACACGAGTTATGCCCAGCGTACCCTCGTACGCCCATCGTACTCGGGTGCTAGGCTTCGGATCATCCACGCCGCCCCTCTACGACTCTATGCCCCATCCCATCCAAAGTCCGACAGATGAGGATGCAGTCATGCATGACGTTTGGTACGCCCCGCGTAGCAAGGGTTTCCGAGCCCTATAAAAGGGATGCGAGGGTTCCGGGCAAAATTGCTCGTTTCATATCTTTCTCCTGCATTTTTACTCCGTTTTTCGTGCAAGCAATATCCCGAAGCCCCAGTTTTCATACCCATGTCTCGAAGGAAGTTTTACCCTCCCGATATTCCTGAGAATCCCGAGAAACCCGTTTTCTCCTGTCGAAGTTCTGCTCGGTTTTCATCTCACTACCTTCACTCTATCAAGTGAGTTCATACCCATATAACTATGTTTTCAAATGCTTTGTAAATGATTTTATACACTTTAAGGTGGGATACAAGTAAACGCATGATTATCCTCGTGTGAATAACATAAATCTTTTGCTATACTTGTTATTATAATCAATCATATGTGATTTATGACTATCATACGGAAACATTCTCATGCAACATATCACGATAACACTTGTCCATTTTGAAATGAAACATGTTGTTATATAAATATCAAACACTTTATTTATATTTCGGGTATAAATGTTCAATAATGTTATTACAAACGTTATACTTTACGTACAAAGTCGACGCTACACTAGGGTTTACCATACAAACGAAATACACTTTTGGAAAAACTATAATAGGTATAGTTTACGGGGAAATCATGAGATTTTACATACTATAGGTACTAAGTCAAGAAAATACTTTCATATACAAGAACAAATGGACTTTTCATACTTAAATCTATTTGATACTAAGTTTTGTGAGACATTCCACTTCATGTACTTTCAAGTATGTTGTTAAAGTCATGTATTATATACCATAATTTCTTGTAGGGAGCTGAAACCAAAACTGAAACTGTAAGCACAAAGCTTAGTGAGCTCTTCCAAACTACCACATACCATACAATAACATATAAGCACATCTTGGGCCTTGCCCACTGCATCGGACCGAATTCTGGAAACTGAATCGGACCGAATTCCGGACTAACTGGGGCCTTGCCCCCTGCATCAGACCGAAGTTTGGACTAACTTGCCCCTGCATCAACCGAAGTCCGGACTAACTGGGGCCTTACCCCCTGCGTCGGACCGAAGTTCGGACTAACTGGGGCCTTGCCCCCTGCATTGGACCGAAGTCCTGAGCTGACTAAACATAACATAGCATAAACATATCAACTAGCATGAACACATATACTGCATACTGCATCGGACCGAAGTCCGAAACACATAACATAAAACATGCTTGAATCACAAAGACATCAAGCAATCTAACTACTGCATCAGACTGAGGTCCGGAACTACTGCTAACTAAACGGGCCGACATTGTGGCCGTAGACCTGTTCCTACTGGAAGGAAACTCACCTGAACTGTTGAACTCAGCCGATAACCCTCTGGCTGCTATCCGACGACTCTCCGAAATGCTGCTCCTCTAGCTCCCTGAGCTACCAATACCAATAACAACACTTAGCCTAAGCTGAACTCTGGAAGTCAAACTAAGTCAACTCTGGTCAAAGTCAAAGTCTTGGTCAGAGTCAACCTTCCAGTTGACTCTACTTGCCGAGTCAACCCGAAAACTCGCCGAGTTCCTAAACTCATAATCCTTCAAAATACCACTCAACTCGCCGAGTCACCCCAAGACTCGTCGAGTTCAACGATCTCCGATTCCTATCCTGACGAAACCCACCAGGTCACCACTCAACTCACTGATCTGCATCTTAACCAGAGAAGATTGGGGTTTCTGCGACCAGACTTGCCGAGTCCAAGAACAGACTTGTCGAGTCCAAGGCAATCTTCAACAGACTCGTCGAGTTGTTCTTCCAGCTCGTCGAGTTCCTGCCCATCTTCATACAACTCGCCGAGTCCACCCATGTGACTCGTCGAGTCGATTTATTTCTTAACCCATATAGTGACTTTTCGAGCCATGCAGGGGCTCCAAACTGTAGATCCACACTTCTACGGCCCACCCTTCATGTAAAGTTGCAAACTTTACGTGAAACCAAGGAGTTATAGGCTTGAAACACTCTAGGGCTAGGGTTTGAGACAAACATGCTTCACTAATACACCAAAGACTAATACTTTATGGGTTTCTAGGCCAAGACAAACCTAGATATGAAGTTCTCTTTGCTCACCAAGGAACAATACACGAATTGACCTTGGAAATGGCCCCAAAAATGATAAAATCTAACTAGGAAAGGGGATCTAAATGAATAACAACCAAGGTATGAGCTTCATACCTTCAAATGATCTGAAATATCACACCAACTCAGAATCTACTACCAATTCTTGAATCACCAAGGTTCCTTTCTTCATTCTAGCTTCAAAGCACCTAAAAATGGCAAAGAAAGCTTGAGAACACTCCAATGGAGGCTTAGGGTTTCAAGAGTAGGTAAAAGGAGTGATGGAGGCTGGGTTGGAGGCCTGCAATGATGCTTAAATAGGGTACCAAGTCCGGAAGTTAGGGTCTCCCAACGCAGACCAGACTCGCCGAGTCGGTCTCCCGGACTCGTCGAGTCGGTCACTTAATCCACGACACGGGTCACAGTCCGACTCATCGAGTTCCTTCTTGGAATCGATGAGTTGACTCCTTTGACTTAAGGCTTTTCTTTCCTTTCCTGTTCTTCCTGATTCTGGGTGTTACAGTTCGGGCTCTAGCTGATTGTACACACTGCTCCTCGTTTTTTCTCTTAGAAACTCTTACTCGTTACTAAAAAATCTTCTCTTTTTGAAAACTTTTCTCAAATCCTCAGTTTGATTCCAAACTTACCCGAAGGTGCATCCGAATCCCTTAAACCAAGGCTCTGATACTAACTTGTAACACCTAAAATTTTCAAAACAAAATTTTCATTTAAAATCACATAGTTCTCATAATGCGTTTTACAAAAATCCCATTTATTTAATTTACCAAATATAACTCCATGATTATTTAGTTAACAATCCAGGATCCTCAAAATATAGCTCTTTCTCTGGTGTGTACATTCAATCCGGCGCCTTCCTGCGATTCTTATAAAAACCTAAACCACATAACACATAACACGATAAGCACGAAGCTTAGTGATTTCCCCAAAACACTACACACACAACTCATTAGCCACTCAATGCTATATCACTGTAAGACCCTCTGGTAAATATGTCTCAGTGGGGCCCTCCAGTCCCATAACTCCGATGGACCCTCCGGTCCCTACTCTATAAGCTCAACATAATATACAACATAAATCACAAAGACATAATGCAGGATATCACAACACTCAATATAAGCACATAAGATACTCTAGTCACACATAGATAACTACTCATAGTATAGTGAGAAGACTCACCTCATAAGCTAGCAAGTGTAATCTTGAACACGGAATCTCGAACTTTCCTCCGTCTAACACATAAAATAATTATCTTTAGTTAATATTCTAATCATACTCAATTACACCAAAGGTTGTTCTCCCCCCCCCCCCCCCCTCTCTCTCTGACTCTTGGAATGGTTAAAAGACCATTTTACCCCTCCATGGTCTCCATTACTCATGTTGACCAAACCCTAAAGTCAACAATAATCAAACTCAAGTCAAGAGTCCATATTTGACCTGACTCGCCGAGTGCACCCATGTGACTCGTCGAGTCCCCTCATTTTCCTCAAAAGTCTCATGGAGGTTGGCTCAGCTCGTCGAGTTGACTCCCAGATCACCGAGTTATCATATGACCGTGAACATCGGGACAAACCCTCACTAACTCGTCGAGTCAGCTCATGGACTCAACAAGTCTTCACAACCTAATTTCTTATTCAGACGTCCAAGGTAAGATCTACTACACTAGACTCTAGATCTAGTCCTTAAAGGCACAAAAGTCACATAAAGTCTCGACCTTTAGCTCATGCATGACATATAGGCCAAAAAATGCCAATAAAAAGCCTTACAAAGGGTTAGGTGCTCAAAGTCAAGTCTCTAACTCAATAAAGTTCATGTCTTTGGGCTCTCAAGACCTTCCACTCTCAGATCTGAGGTTTCAACCTCAAATCATACACAAAAAAGGCTCAATGACTATAAGAAATGGAAGAAAACCCTAGAAAAATCCCATATCAAGATCTCCCTAGAAGATGAGAAAGTCAACATATTTACATCAAGCAAACATTGCTGAATTTGTGGATCCAAAGTTTCCTCTTGCCCCAACCTCAATACTCTTCACTTCTCCTTCAAAGAATGCACCAACAACCACCAACTTAGCTCTTCACTCACTTTCTAGCTCTAATTGCTATTAGGGAATTCTCTCACGAGTGTAGGGTAACTGGTGAGGCGGAAATGGGGGCATAAGTTCCCTTATATAGGCCCCAACCCCAAGAAATTAGGGTTTCTCTGCCCAACACCTACTCGGCGAGTCAGCTCTCCAACTCGTTGAGTCCACTCATTAATTCCATGCGGCAACTCGACCTTACTCGGCGAGTTGGACTCACAACTCGTCGAGTCATTCCATAAACTTCAAATTTTAAGCACATAATTAATTTACCTGGGTTTCCGGATGTTATAATTACACTCTCTTCCCTCTTGAAAAAATGCCTTAGACCATGTAGTAAGATCTATCTCTATAAGGTAATCATATGCTTGAGTATCTACAGATTTGATCTTCTCCATTACACGTCTGACATTGACAGCCCTCCAAAATAGCTTCCTGAAATGTTGACCAGTAAACCTTTTAGCAAAATAGGCCACAATATGCCTGGCACATTGTCTGTGTTCAGCTTCGGTGCACCTTTCTTTTACTTCTTCTAGTAACCCCTACAAATAACATCAAAATTAGTGAAACAAGCATAAAAATAGACGCATAAATAGGAACCAATGCTCACCTTGTGTCCATCAGAAAGAAGGGTAATGCCTGTACCAAGACCACCATCTATGAACCACTTCCATGTGGCCTTGTTCTCAACTCCAATCACAGCCCATGCTATAGGGTAGACGTGGTTGTTTGCATCTTTCCCTACAGATGCCAAAACTTCTCTTCTACCAATACCCTTTAAAAAGAAACCATCAAGGCCAATCATAGGCTTGCACCCTTCCTCCCAACAATCACTTACAGCTTTAAAGCAGACATAGTACTTGGAAAACAAAGTTGTGGAATCTGGCATGATGTCGACATCCAACCTCACAGTAGACCCAAGGTTTGTCCTCATAATTTCATGACCATATGACCATAATCTCCCATAATGTTCAATTAGACTTCCTTCAATTTCTTGTAATACAAATTTCTTTACATTTCTACATTGCCCCACACTCACATTTATGTTGAATGTTGCTGAAACTTTAGCTTTCATCTTCCTAACACTCATTTTTTCTTATCTATAATGTCACTCATAAATTTTTTGCCTAACCACTTATAAGTTACTATGGACCCAAACTTAAACACCCTACTGCAATTATGTTCACTAACTAGAGATTTTATCTGAAAAGTCTTCTCTTTAGTTATCCAAGAAGCTCAAAGTCTAAATGGACAAGTAGGTGACTTGTTTTTTTGCAGCACTTAGCTAACAACCTTTAGGAGTCATTTTTTTCAAACCAAAGATCATACTTGTGACATCCCCATTTTCATGGCCAGAAAAGACCGATTTTGTTTATGCTTTATAAAAATCAGAGTACCTCTTTTAATAAAAATGCTGCGGAATTTGTTCCTAGTAAAACATGATAAATACGTTATCAAAGCATTTATGAAGAAAAGTCTTTTTAATTCGTTTTAAAAAATTTGGGGTGTCATCGTCAATACAGAATCATAAGCATAAACAAAACTTACATTTATTTACACTAGTGATCTACATCTCTTTAATGTAACATCCGGACTTTTGCCAGGTATCATGTAAATTGAATTTTGTTAAATTGTGAGGGGGACTCGGCGAGTTGGAGCTCAGACTCGCCGAGTAGAGACGCGGATTGGACGATGGATCGCGCCCGGACTCGGCGAGTCCAGGATATGGACTCGGCGAGTCTGCGTTGTGTAGTGAAACCCTAAATTTCCGGGTTTGAGACCTATTTAAAGGGCCTTATGGTCGTCATTTGTGCTCACCCAACCCTTAGGGAGAAACCCTTGAGTGCTTGGACGATTTGAGAGAGAAAGGAGCATATCTTGATCTTGTGGGTGCCATTTAGCAAAGAAGGAGGTGATCCTAGGCAAGAGGAAGCAAAGGAGGTTGCTATTTCGTGGATTTGGAGCCTAGATCATCAATCTAGAGGTATGATTTCGGTTTATATTCTGTTTGGTGAAGTATTATGCGATTTAGGGCTTATTATGGACATTTATGGGATGATTTGATGCCCAATGGTTCCCTCCTTGTGCTGAGGTTTTGGATCTGGATCCATAGAGGTCCAGAGAGCCTCACTCATCAAGCTTTTTGTATGGCAATGGAGTTCATGACCTTGTGTTGTAGTATTTGAGTCAAAAACATCATATATGGTCATATAGAGGTTGTATGTGCATCAAGATTGTAACTTTACGTGCTAAATGAGCTTGGAAGGACTGGATCTATGGGTTAATGGACTGGATCTGACCTTATGAGCAAGTTTGAGTCATTGCATGGCACGGACTCGCCGAGTCCGAAGAACAGACTCGGCGAGTAGCATGAATGTTGCCCGACCACACAGTGAGTGGTCTCGCCGAGTTGGGAAGGGTGGACTCAGTGGGTCAGGGGGGAGTCAGAGTGGACAGGTGGACTGAGTCAAACTGGACTCGCCGAGTTGTTCTTGAGACTCGGCGAGTTGAGTCGTGGTGGCCCCACAACTCATGCCAGGTGGAACTCGTCGAGTTGGGAGAATGCTCGACGTGTCAAGGGAGGATCCCAGGGAAATTGGTGTATACGCTCAGACTCGCCGAGTCCGGTCAAAGTTGACCGTTGACCGTTGACCAGCGTTGACCTAAGTTGACTTGTTATAGTATGGTCAACCCTAGTTGGGAAAGTGTTAATTAGAGATGTATTGTGCTATAGGAGGACTATAGCTCGGCAGATCGAGTGATTAGCGATTTCAGATTTACGACTTACCGAGACACACGAGGTGAGTCTTCTCATTATACTTTACCTTGAGTAGGTAACCAGAGTTATGTGATAGAGTATTGGTATGCTATGTATGTTACGTGTTGTACTGCATTATTTCTATGTGATTTATGTGGTGCATATTTATCAGAGCTAGAACCTGAGGGTTCACAGAGTTTGGGTGCACGGACCCACAGAGTTATAGCCTCGAGTGGCTAATATGTGTTATATGTGGTATTTTGGGGAACTCACTAAGCCTTGTGCTTACAGTGTTTGATGTTATTGTTTCAGGTACTAGTGACGATCGCGGGAAGGCGCCGGCTTGATCCGTACACACACACGCTCGGAGTTTGATATTATGATCTTGGGATTTTGTATTGTCTTGTTTGGATAATTAAATGGTTGTTTTTATGAATATCGATGGAATTATGTTTTATAAAAATTGAAAATTTTGTTTTGAAATTTACGGTGTTACAATTGGTATCAGAGCCTTGGTTTGAGGGATTCGGTACACCTTTGGGGGTATTTGAACTCAAACTGAGGAATTGGAAAAGTATTTTCAAAATAAAACCAAAATTTTCTAAGAGTAAAAGATTTTCTTGAAAAGGAAACAGATTCCAGGAAGAAACGTGTGTACGATCAGTCAGCGCCCGAACGGTGAATTCCCAAAATACCTTTATATTATGTGATAATTAATATTAATATGATGTGTTTGCATGCTAGAGTAGGCTAGGTATTGCTAATAGGACTAGAGTGGCCTGATTTGTGATGCCTTAGCCTAGGGAGGGGTGAGCTGCTATGAGATGCTGAGAGTGAGTAGATAGCAGCTAGGGGTTTGTGAGAGATCTGTTAGAAAGTGATTTAAGCATAATAGAGTACTTGGGGATTGGGATCCGAAGAGGAAGATTTGGGGTGTGTACTGAGACGGTGCGGACAGTAGTATTGGGCCCGTACTACTGAAAGTACCGGTGCGGTACACGGCCCAAATAAGAATCTTGGGATACCAAGAATCAAGGAGGGGTGGATTGTCGAATGTAAGAGTGTTCGAGTGAATTCTAATTATCGCATGTTGTATTTCAGAGGTTGATCATGGTGAGGACACGTCACATGCCAGAGGATGCCGGAGCTAGTGATGAGGAGATTCGACAGATCATTCATGAGGAGGTGGCTGCGGTCATCAGAGCTGAGATACCAGAGATGTTTGGGTCTATTAAGACCGCGTTGATTGAGACATTTGACGAGCGCTATGCCGCTCTTTCTGAGGCTGCTGTCGCAGCGGCTACCGCAGCGATCGCTGCGGCGAGGCCCCAGGGAGGTGATGCGTCACTGTTTAGGGAGTTCAGCAACACCAAACCACCAGAGTTTGATGGTACGCAGGATCCGGTGGCAGCTATGAGGTGGATATCTGACATGGAGGGATGCTTCTTCACTTGCTCGTCCCCTGAGCATTTGAAGGTTCGGTTCGCGCTGAACCAGCTTCGCTTGGGAGCGAAGGACTGGTGGAAGTTTGTGACGGCGCACTTCACGCCTACTGAGCTTTCGGCAGTGACCTGGGAGAGGTTCACTACCATGTTCCGAGATGAGTACGTTCCTCAGGTGGAGAGGGAGCGTCTGGCACAGGAGTTTCTGACCCTCAAGCAGGGTACCGAGTCAGTTACAGCGATTACGAGGATGTTTCATGAGAGGGCGATGTTCTGCCCTGAGCACGTGTCCACCGAGCAGGCACGTATGAGCCGTTACCTGAGCATTCTGAGACGGGATATTCGGGAGTTCGCTGCGAACTCCTCGTATCGGACATTTGCTGAGCTTCAGGCAAATGCCCGGAAGAGGGAGATTGAGCTTGAGACTCAGGCCAGGGAGGAGGCGGAGTCTCTAGGGAGGGATCGGCGGCCGGCACAGTTCCAGCCGGCAGCCAAGCGGGCCAAGCCCGCTGATCCCAAACCCGGGAGCCAGAAGGGCCGCACTTGTGGGAAGTGCGGCAAGGGTCACGATGGAGTCTGTCGAGCAGGGTCTTGCTACAAATGTGGCAAGGAGGGGCATATGGCCAAGGACTGCCCCAAGGGGTTTGCAGTGTGCTTCCACTGCAACCAGACCGGACACCGGAAGGCAGAGTGTCCGTGCTGCGCGGAGCGTCTCAGGGATCTGCTCCCGCCGCCATCAGAGCTACAGAGAGTCGGCCCGTGAAGGCCGAGGCACCGAGAGCTCGAGGGAGAGCCTTTCAGCTGACTGCGGAAGAGGTCCGCGCTGCACCCGACGTTGTGGGCACTAGGTACCTTCCTCGTGAACTCTGTACCTGCTTTAGTGTTATTTGACTCGGGTGCGAGTCGATCTTTTGTATCTTTGACATTTAGTCAGCATATCAGTGTTAGTCGTGGGGCACTGAGTCGGCCCCTGCGGGTTTCCATAGCCGCCGACAAAGTGATTTGTGCCACGGAGGTCCTCCGGGGATGCGTATTGGAGATTTTTGGGGTTGAGTTCCCGATCGACCTGATTCCTATTGCGATGGGTGATGTCTGTGTTATAGTGGGCATGGACTGGTTGAGCCGTTTCGGCGCGGTTATCGATTGCGAGCGTCAGCTGGTGACCATACGAGATCCTAGTGGGGGTTCTTTCGGTTTACGGCGAGGGTACACGTTCTGGATCAGCCTTTTGTTCGGCCGCTAGGGCGAGGCAGTGTTTACAGCAGGGCTGTAAGGGTTTCGTGGCGTACGTGATGGATACGCGAGTGATCTCCGAGAGACCGAGTTCAGTGGATGAAGTTCCGGTGGTGCGTGAGTTTCCAGATGTTTTTCCCGAAGAGTTACCAGGTGTGCCTCCCGTGAGGCAAGTGGAGTTCGGTATCGATTTGGTTCCGGGAGCCGCGCCTATCGCTAAGGTGCCTTATCGCCTTGCGCCTCCAGAGATGCAAGAGTTATCCTCGCAGCTTCAGGAGTTGCTGGGGAAGGGGTTTATTCGGCCGAGTAGCTCGCCGTGGGGAGCACCCATTCTGTTTGTGAAGAAGAAAGATGGCTCGCATCGCATGTGTATTGACTACCGAGAATTGAATAAGCTGACGGTCAAGAACCGTTACCCGTTGCCGAGGATCGACGATTTATTCGATCAATTACAGGGAGCATCTTGGTTCTCCAAGATCGATTTGAGGTCGGCTATCATCAGGTGAGAGTGCGGGATGAGGACGTCCAGAAGACAGCATTCAGGACGCGTTATGGGCATTATGAGTTTGTGGTGATGCCTTTTGGGCTCACCAATGCCCCGGCTGTGTTCATGGACCTCATGAACAGGGTATGTCGGCCGATGTTGGATCGGTGGTG